TCATCTAAGTTTTAAGCTCTGCATGCATCAGGTATTTGTCCTAATGCTCTCCCTCCCATTGCCCCCAACCTCCCGACAGGCCCCAGTGTGATGTTTCCCTCCCTGTGTCCATGTGTTCTCATTTTTCATCTCCCACTTATGAGTGAGAATATGTGGTATTTGCTTTTCTGTTCCTGTGTTTGTTTGCTGAGATTTATGGCTTCCATCTTCATCCATGTCCCTGCAAAGGACATTAACTCATTCTTTTTCATGGCTGCATAGTATTCAATTGTATATATGTGCCATATTTTCTTTATCCAGTCTATCATTGGTGGGCATTTGGGTTGGTTCCAAGTCTTTGCTTTTGTAAATAATGCTGCAATAAACGTATGTGTGCATCTGTCTTTATAGTAGAATGGTTTATAGTCCTTTGGGTATATACCCAGTAATGGGATTGCTGTGTCAGATGGTATTTCCTGTTCTAGATCCTTGAGGAATCACCACATTGTCTTCCACAATGATTGAACTAATTTACACTCCCAACAACAATGTAAAAGCATTCCTGTTTCTCCACAGCCTCACCAACATCTGTTGTTTCCTGACTTTTTAATAATCGCCATTCTAACTGACATAACTGGCATGAGATGGTACCTCATTGTGGTTTTGGTTTACATTTCCCTAGTGACCAGTGATGATGAGCTTTTTTCACATGTTTCTTGGCCGCATAAATGTCTTCTTTTCAGAAGTGTCTTTTCATATCCTTCACCCACTTTTTTTTGTTTTTTCTTGTAAATTTGTTTAAGTTCCTTGCAGATTCTGGATATTAGACCTTGTCAGATGGGTAGCTTTCTAAAATTTTCTCCTATTCTGTAGGTTGCAGAACTGGTGTTCTTTTGATGTTAGGGTAAAATGATGGATATCACTGGGTTTAATAGATTGCCTAGAGACAGAGACAATGTCTGGCTTCTCCCACGCATACACACATTCCTGGTAGAAGCTGGAGTCTGTAGCTCCTTGTCTCTCATACGGAGAGACTGTGACTTCACCTCTTATTTTAAAGTTATAGTTAATTGTAACTGCAATACTCTCAGATCATTTTGTCTATTCACAGAAACTAATTTGCTGCCAGTGATAGGGATAATCCATGATTTCTGAGACATCTACTTCCATAATTTCACAGTTCTAAGTCTAGAAAAATTATTAGAAGAAAATTATTGGGTGGTCTTGGAACCAACCCAAAGAAAAATCATGTCCTGTGAACAGTAGGATAGATACTGAATCTAGCTTGTCTCACTTTGGAGCTAGTTCTTATAATTTCCCTTGGACTATATATTTTTGTCCAATCACTACTGTACAGGACATGGATTTGATTTGCTTTTCCCTCCCATGAGCCACTCAATTGCTTTGCTAAAAGCCCCATCACTTTTCCTTTGGTTTCCTTTGGTACACCAACCTCAACACAGAGTCCACTTGGTTTGGAAAGGGTTGGCCCACACTGGTGGCAAGAGTGGGCGCAGAATCCATGCCTGGCTCATCTAATTGTCCATACCTTCCAACAAGGATTGGTTCAAGTGATGGGAAAGTGACCCTTGCCAGGGTGATGAAGTGCATACCACAGACTTTTACTGGCTGTACTGGGAAGCATACATTTTCTTTGGTACTGGAGAACTGGTAACAACAGTGCCAAATGTTGTTTGTTATCGAAGCTGAGTGAAGGGGCTCTTGAAGGATCCTTACTCAACTTTTGCATATGATTGGAAAGTTTGTAATAAAATTGTAATGGTGTAAGTCTACTATTTATACCTATAGAAGTAAAAGAGTTTTGCTGGGTGCAGTGGTTCACATCTGTAATCCC